CTGGAAGAGGACACAGCTGGAGGCAAAAACCATTTACAGTGATCTGGGCTAGAAGAAACCAGAGCCTTAACCAAGCAATGGCAGCAAGCATGGAGAAGAAGTGAAGGTATGGGAAGTGGAGGAGATGAGATGGCTTCCGTGGTAACTCTGAGAAGTTGGGCAAGGAGGAGAATGACCCCAGGTCTCTGGTAGGAGCAGTATATGGAAGAAGTTTCCAGTCCCAGTGGAGATGGGAGGAGCAGGTTTCAGAGAAGCTCTGATTTTGATTTGGGGACATGGTGAGTTTGACCTACCAGTGGAACCTCCAGCTGAGGCTGTCCAGGTGAGACCGTGGCCAGGCTGGAGGTACAGATGGTAGCAGCATGAGTATGTGGGAGGAAGCTGGAGCCATGAATTGAATAGGTTGCCCTAGAAGTCGGTGTACACTGAACAGAGACAGGGGTCCAGACAAAGACCCAGGGGTTCCATCCTCAATCCTATACTTCAGGTGGTATTTCCCATCTTTGGGGGCTGGCATATTCAGTGTCAGTTTACATTGTGTACAAGGCAGGAGGACACAGGTTCTTGCAGAATAATGTGTGGAAACTTTGGGCAACATCCCTCTTGGCTAAAATAAGCATTCTTACTACCAGATACTCAGCTGTGTTCCGGATGGTTACTGTGGCTAGAATGTGACTTCCTAAGAAGTGAGGAATTTACTATAGAAATCTCTACCCCTTAGCAGAACAAAAATCTTTCCACAAAATTTACAGTAGAACAAATGCATACTATAGAAGCCAGCCTCCCTGTTGATCCCCAATATAAGGATACTTTGTGCCCCAAATTAATAAAATCAATTAGCAAACTTTCATAGTTCATGTGAATGTGAGTATGTTTGTCACAATAATACTGGAAAGTTTTAATAATGTGTGACGCTGTAGGATAAGCACTGAACTGCAATGTTGGTTTGAACTGTAAGGTTGGCGGTTCAAGTCCACCCGCCACTTCCTGGAAATCCTAAACGGGGTCACTATGAGTTGAAACCGACTGAACAGCACATAACAACAGCAATGCTATTTCAAACACTTCACTGGTCAGGTCCCTGCTCCATGGAATGTTCAGACTCAAAATCTAGCAGGGAAAAGAGCACTTTGGTCTGGGCTTTCTGTTGTATATTGTTTGAAAGTGTTTCCTTTTAAAGAATGGGGAAATTCTACCTCTACTTTGTACTAGTGCACATAATCAAGGTTTTGTCTCTTTTAAATGACTACATAAGGGAAAGCACCTGAGCACCCCTGAAGCCCATGCTCTGCGTGTGGCCCATGGGTTGGTGCTGTGGTATCTGTGGAATTGCTGCATTTAGTCTCTGCCTTTGTCATGTTGGAAACCCTATACAGGATCACTATGAGTCTGAATAGACTCATCAGCACTTGACAACAACATCATGCTCATGGGAGTCCTGCAGTGGTAATGTAGGCTAAGTACTGGACTGCTAAACAGGTCAGCGATTCAAACCCACCAACTGATCCTCGGAAACTCTGTACAGGGTCACTGAGTTGGAAGCAACTCAACAGCACTTTATTACAACAACATGCTAATACTTCTCAAGTTCCATTGCCCCAGTCCTTGATATGGAAAATATAGTCCCTGTATGAATGAATCTCTGGTAGTAACTGTTGTTATTGTTGTTGTTATGTGCCGTGGAGTTGGTTCCGACTCATAGTAACCCTGCACAGGGTTCCGAGGCTGTAAATCTTTACAGGAGCAGAAAGCCTCATCTTTCTCCCACGGAGCAGCTGGTAGTTAGCTCAATTCGTAACCACTATGCTGCCAGAGTCCCTGTCTGAATGAATCTCTGGTAGTAATTGTGGAGCTAGATCCCTTTGCATTTATGTTTGTTTGTTTTTAAGATGAAAACACAATGTTCATTACTCAATAACCTGAAAGGTTGATGTGAGAATAAATTTGCAGTGATTTAGCGCTCTTCATTATGGAAATGACATATAAATATTTAACTCTAATGTTTATTTTATTCTAATTTTTTTGTTAATCACATTTGCTTAGCTAACATAGCGTACTTATGCCAAGTGCTTGTTATCATTTAACACTTTATGAATAATGGCAAATTCATGTGCTGTTTTACTTGAAATTAGTTTGCTTGTAAAGACTGATGCAAAATCGCCTGTTCATTTCGGAGCTTAGTATTTATGTCATTAAACAAGCAGACCCCCTGAACACACACACACAAAACACTCATGCACACACATTTTTCTGCATTATCATTTTGACAGTTTCTAACGAGAGGAATTTGTTTCAGGCTCACTCATACTTTGAAGGCAGCCAAATTGAATTTAACAGAACATTCTTCTAAATTTGAGGAAGAAACAGTAATAAAACAGGAAGAATGGGAAAGATATACAAATGATATAAAACAATTCTGAGTTCAATTTTTCTTTAATGTTGACCAAAATAAATTGGCTAGCATGTGAAATAATTCTGGGAAAATTCCTTGTTACCAGCTTCCTTTTGTTACCAAATGTGATTTACTAAAATCAGAGCCATGCATCTCTCCTGCGCGATATATGAAGACCTTGGGCCCCTATGTACCTTCCTACCCAGGACTCATGGGTATCCCCATTAGGAATGCACTCTTTGGGGTTAAGCATTTCCCCGTCCTTTAGTAGAAGTCAATTTTCCCATCCATTTGACTGTGGGATTGGAGTGATACCGCAAAATGGTGGCTCTGCTACCTGACATGAGGAAAGCCAGTTTACTCAGAGACTGGGTGTGGTAAAGCAAGAAAGGTGCCATGTACATCGGATACGCAAGAGGCAGGAGGACTGGGTCAGCCAAAAACTGCCTCTCCAAGGAGAAAGGGGAAAGAGTGTTTATAGGGATTGGGGGTATGGGCAGAGGACTTTCAGGAACTTTAGCCTTCTGCTTATCTCAGGTTGTATTGATCCTTCTGAGGACTCTCAGTAACTTACTGGTTCCTATCTACCACTCATCTGTCAGTTTGTTGCACTCTGGTAACTTGAGAGTTGCTGTGCTGCTGGATGCTAGGCCCCCTGTATTTTGAATGCTAGTAGGGTCACCTATGGTGGACAGATTTTAGCTGAGCTTCCAGACTAAGACAGACTAGGTAGAAGGAGAGGCAGATTACTACCAAACCTTTAGCCAATGAAAACCTCATGAATAGCAGTGAAACACTGTCAGATAGCACCCGAATAGTGGCAGATGTAGTGCCGGAAGCTGAGCCCCTCAGGTTGGAAGACACTCAAAATAGCACTAGGGAAGTAGAGTTGACCGTGATGACGAGAAAGGAGTAGAGCTTTCAGGACCTTCATTTGCTGATGGGGCACAACTCAAATTGAGAAGAAACAGCTGCAAACATCCATAATCAAATAATCAAAACATGGAATGTACAAAGTATAAATCTAGGAAAATCGGAAGTTGTCAAAAATTAAAATGGATAGGTATTGGCCATTTTGAATCTAACCATCATATGGTCTACCAAGCCAGGAATGACAAGGAGTAATGACTTTGCATTCATCATCAAAAGGAACATTTCAAGATCTATCTTGAAGCACACTGCTGTCTGTGATAGGATGCTATCCATAAGGCTGTAAGAAAAGACTAGTTAATGCCACTGTTATTCAAATTAATGTACCAACTACCAAATCAGTGGTGATGAAATTGAAGAATTCTACCAACTTCTTCAGTCTCAAATCGATCAAACATGCAGTCAGTATTGATAATTACTGATGATTGGAAGGCAGTGAGTCGGAACTGATTTGACAGCACCTAACAATTGGGCTGCTAATCTCACAGTCAGCTGTTCGAAACTACCAACTATTCCACCGGAGAATGATGAGGCTGTCTGCTCCCGTAAAGACTTACAGTTTCGGAAACCCTGTATAGGGTTGCTATAAGTCGGAACCGACTCCACGGCTCATAACAACAACAACAGCAACAAGGAGTCTTGGTGTGGCACTATGGGTTAATGCATTGGACTGCAAAGTTGATTTGAACCTCAAGGTCTGTGGTTCAAGCTCACCAGCCACTTCTAGGAAACCCAATACAAGGTAGCTATGGGTCAGAACCGACTTGACAGCACTTACCAACAACAAAGGAATACTTTTGAATTGGTCAGCATTAAGTTCTCATTTCAGTGGCAAGAGAAAGGCAGGCAGACTGGTCAGGAGGCTCCGGTTCCTTCCGTCTTGTTCTACACAACACATGATTTCTTCCAGCTGGTCAGAGATAGCTACTTGTATTCCAGTTATCTTGTCCCCAGTCTGACAGTAGGGAAGAAGGGCACAGCCCCTTCATTAATGAACATTTCCCCCAAAGTATTATATGAGTGCTTTCCTTTTGTTGGCCAGAACTGAGTCACATGACCACAAGGGGCCTTGGGAAATGTAGTCTTCATTACTGCCGTATGTTGTTTAAGTGCCACCAAATTGGTTCCGACTCATAGCAATCCTTTATGGGGTTTCCTGGGAGCGGCTGATAAATTTGAACCACAAGGTCGGTTGTTCAAATTCACCAGCTGCACCTAGGAAACCCCATACATGGTTGCTATGAGTCTGAACCAACGTGATGGCACTTAATAACAACACACATATATATGTGGAAAGAGAGAGATTCCTGGTGTGCTGGATTGCAAGTCTGTTTGAACCACAAGGTTGGTGGTTCAAGCTCACCAGCTGCTCCTTGGAAACCCTATGCCTATAGGGACTGACTCGATGGCACTCAACAACAACAAGCCCATATTTTGATAGACAACTATAAGACTTTGCCATAAGTCATATGCCAGATCTTGCTAAAATAGCTTATTTGTTTGTGAATGAAGTTCTTTTCTGCTTTCTAAAATTTCTGTCCAGATCCAGACATAAAAACCATAAATGAAAAAAAAAAAAAAAAAGATTGAATTCAAAGGTCATCTCTAAAGAAAACTTTTTAAAGTTCAGACTACATTCTGTGATTGTCTATTAATGTCCCCTTCCTTATATTTTCAGCGGAAATTCTGGAACTGGCTGGGAATGCCGCAAGGGACAACAAGAAAGCTCGGATAGCCCCAAGACACATCCTACTGGCGGTCGCCAATGATGAGGAGCTCAACCAGGTAAGTGTGAAGGCTGAGACCAGACACAGAATTGCTTCATCCAACAAATTTCTGCACATGGATCCAACTGGCCACAAGTCATTCTTGCTACAGTTTCAGCACATTTATTTGCAAACTAATAATAATCAGGCAATATGAGAGAAGAACAAGTTCTTTGAGCAATATGATTCAGATTTAAATTAAAACTACCTCTGGATTTAGACCCAGAGAGGGAGAAGGGGCTGTGTGCTGACGACCGGGCCAGGCTTACAGGGTATACCCTTTGGTTGGTTGATGATGCATGGAGAGGATTGTAACCATGGCAATGAAACGATATACAATAGGATGAATGTAAAACTAATGTTCTCCCATGTAAACTATCACATAATTCACAATGAAACATTAAAAAAACAAAAAACTAGTTCTGGAACAGATCCTGTCTTATATTCTGAGTCTTGCCAGATCTTCTTTTCCTTTCTAAAGCAAACTCTAGGTGCTGCTGGGAAAGAGTACAGCACACGTATATTACTCTCTTCTTCATTTCTTCACCCAAACTTGATTTGTGAACAGTCTGTTTTGGTGAGGGCACTGGAATCTTTCTTTGTCTGTTAGATCCGTCCCTACTGGTGGCTCATGACAGCCGTCTCCAGAGCTCTGTGAATGCTCCTCCAAGGATACACAAGGCACATGATATTAGAATGTTTATTTATATTTACTTCCAAGATGTATTCTTAAACCATCTATGATGAAGAACCAGCTCTCCTTATTTCAAAACTAATTTTCATTTCGATATATACAATTAAAATAATTACTAGAAAAATGAAAAGAGTTAGAAGGCATACAAAATCGATACCCCAATGTTTTCTTATTCGTTGTTGTTGTTAAGTGCTGTTGAGTTCGTTCCAAATCATAGCAACCCTGTATAGGATTTCCAAGGAGCAGCTGGTGAGTTTGAACCGCCGACCTTGTGGTTCAAACCGGCCTTGAGGTCGAGTGCTTATCCTATGGGGTCTTGCCAGATCTTTATTTTCCTTTCTAAAGCAAATTCTGTGTGCTGCTGGGAAAGAGTCCAGCATACCATGATTCTTATTAGAGTTAGCAATAAATGATGCCTTTGTTTGCTATCAGGATGTCTGGACTCTTAGTCTGTTTCTGTACTTGTCACAGACAGGTAACCAGCAATCTCTGGTGTGCAGATCACACTTGGAGCAGGCTTGCTTTAGAACATGCAGAATATCATCACTGCATAGTGTAAGCAGTTAAGTACTTGACTACTAACTGAAAGGTTGTTGGTTCAAGTCCACCCAGGGGTGCTTCAGAAGAAAGATCTAGTAATTAGCTTCTGAGAGGGCACAGCCTTTGAAAACTATGGAGCACAGCTCTACTCTGAAACACACACCGAGTCTCCATGAGTTGGAATCGACTCAGTGGGAACAGTTTTGCTGCTGTTTAGTGATATGTGTAGATTATTTATAAGTTAATGAATATGTATTAACTAGGAGATGCATGGTCAAATATATTTTACTGATGAAATGCATGCTGAAAAAAGTGTGGAGACCACTGGTCTGTGGTTAACTGGATCTTGTCCTTGCATTGACCTTGAACCCAAGTTTTGTCAAGCTGTGCTCCCCACCTGTGAGTCTTTTATCCCCTGTTGTGTCTGGAATTCCAGAGCCCTGGGCAACAACCCTGGTGTCAGCCTCTATAACCCTTTCCTTTTGATTTGTTTTGTTTTGCTTTCTGTAGATCACAGGATGCCTTGTTGTCTACAGAGAAAAGCTATACAAGTGAATGAGCCATTTAAACTCTGTACATTGCGATTTCTTTAGGAATCCAAAGACCAGATTTAAGACTTGTTTTAGCCACAGTTAGAATTGTATTCAATCCAAAACTGGGACGCCCTTGGCTCACGCATCTTCTCTTTCCAGCTGCTGAAGGGAGTGACCATTGCCAGTGGGGGCGTCCTGCCCAGAATTCACCCTGAACTGCTGGCCAAAAAGCGAGGGACCAAAGGCAAGTCTGAAACGATCCTCTCCCCTCCCCCAGAGAAAAGAGGAAGGAAGTCCACATCGGGCAAGAAGGGGGGCAAGAAATCCAAGGCTGCCAAACCACGGACATCCAAAAAGGTAAGCCAAGACCATGTCTTGTGAGCTAGGGACTACCATAGAACAAGATGCAAGTTTAAAGGTCCAGAGATGACAGTGTAGCCAGCATTTCCTAAGGGCTGAGCACTCTCTCAACTTGATGCTGGGAGAAAATGACGAGAATTAATCTCCAAGCTGAGAGCTCACATCATCTGTGTACTAGGAGTTTCCAGATCCCAAGTGTGGGTGATTTTCATGGTTCCAGAGCCCTTCCTCCACCCCCACCTGGAACCCTAGTTTTTATTTCTCTACAGAATTCCATATTGCATAGAGTTCCACACATGGAATTTTGGGTGTTTGGCACAACCTGACATTTATGGAGTAATGCTTTAATGTGCTATCTAGTAGAACCACTAGTCACATGTAACTATTTAAATTAACATTAAAATTAAACCAAACTTTAGATCCATGCATTTGGTTGTACCATCTGCAATTCAGTGGCTCAACAGCCCTGGACAGGGCAGACACAGAACACAGAAAGTTCTGTTGGGTGACACTGCTTTGTTGTTGTCAAAGTGCCATAGAGACAGTTCCAACTCATAGCAACCTGTATACGATTTCCAAGCTGTACATCTTTTCTGAAGCAGAAAGCTTCATCTCTGTCTCGAGGAACAGCTGATGTGTTAGAACGGCTGACCTTGTGATTTACAGTCCAGTGCTTATTGTATACAGCCATCATGCTTCCCAACACTGCTTTGTTGTTGTTGTTGTTAAGTGCCGTTGAGTCAGTTCCAACTCACAGCAACCCTGTATAGGGGTTCCATGGAGCAGCTGGTGAGCTTGAACTGCCAAATTTGCTGTTCAAACTGACCTTGCAGTCTAGCATATTAACTCACAGAACCATACCAGGACTCCAACATTGCTTTGTTGTTGTTGTTGTTAAGTGCTGTCGAGTCAGTTCTGACTCATAGCAACCCTATATATAAATAGGATTTCCAAAAGCAGCTGGTGAGCTTGAACTGCCAACCTTGTGGTTCAAACCGACTTTGCAGTCCAGCGCATTAATCCACAGCATCACGCTGCTTTAAGGCTATCAATTTTCATCTGCAGACCTCCAGCCCTACCTCCACCGTACCCCAGGAAAGTCCTGGGGAGGAGAGAGTTTCTCATGGTTATCATCATAAGTTACGAACATTGGAAAAAGCAAGCATCAAATTCCTGTGTCTCGGTTTAAGTGAAGCCTCCAGGCACCTTGACACACTTCATTTCTTACAGTCCTTTATCTCTTCCTTATGTCTGTCCTTAGCTGCCCTCAGTGGAGAAACAGCTGGACACAACGCCTAACCCTTCCTTTTATGTTCAAGTTGGTAGCAGCCATGGGAGGAGCTTAATAAAACCACTTTGGGATTTTTCCTGATTGTTCCCCACCTGTCCTGATTTCTACCAACAGTCCAAACCAAAAGACAGCGATAAAGAAGGAGCTTCAAGTCTCACCTCTGAAGACGGCCCAGGGGATGGATTCACCATCCTGTCATCGAAGAGCCTTGTTCTAGGGCAGAAGGTACTGAAAACATTGTAATGTGCTGTACTGCCTTTTTATAGCCTACTGTTTCTAAAAAATGTTACCTCCTTCATCCCCTGCTCCCCAAATACAGCTTTCACACCATCCTGAAATTATTCATTTTAAAACCAAAGAGCTGTATGGTAGTCTCTACATTGTGAGAGTGAACAAGCTCATTCATATTGTTGTTGCTGTTGTTGTTAAGTGCCATCAAGTTGGTTCTGACTCATAAAGACCCTGTATAGGGTTTCCGAGGAGCATCTGGTGAGCTTGAACCGCAGACCTTTTGGTTCAATCCAGCCTGTGGTCCAGTGCTTATCCTATAGTGCCACACCAGGACTCCACTGTTGTTGTTGTTAAGTGCCTTCGAATCAGTTCTGATTCACAGCAACCTTGATTTTGTCGCTATGAGTCAGACCTAGGGTTTCCTAGGAGCAGCTAGTGGGTTTGAACTGCTTACCTTGTGGTTCACAGTCCAGTGCTTATCCTACAGCACCACACCAGGAGTCCAAGGACTCCATTAGGAATCATTAATGCTGACATTTGTCAGCCAAAGGTAAGCATAGCAAATCTCTCTGGTCAGTAGAGAGAATGGCATTTCTGATTTTTCTGGAATTTCTCTAAGCCTCAGTTATTTCTATGCCCATCATAAAAATCCAGACTAACTCTCGAACTGCCTTTGAGAGGCCTGCCTTACAGAGTTTAACGTAATTTATCAAAGTTAGAAAATAGAAATATATGTTTCCTAAATATCCCTGGTGTTATAAATGAATTATTTGCCAATAATTCAGTCTGCTCTCCTTTCTAGACTACAGAAAGAAAACAGTCAGGGTTGTACATTTCAGCAGGCTTCAGCAGCCAGACTTGCAAATAATTCATTCCCACAAGTGTAAATTTTACTGAGCAGATGATTTATCTACCACGCCACTTGGGACTGAAATAAGATACACAAGGATTCACAAAAAAGCAATCAATCAATCATGTCTCTAGTAGCAGCATGTGTGCATCCTTACATTGGAGTGGCCCTCAGTCAAGCTGTTGAGGAGAGCAAGTCCTAAGAAGAGCATCAATATTTGTTTTGTTCTTGTTGTTAAATGCCACCGAGTTGATTCTGGCTCATAGTGACCCTGTATAGGGTTTCCAAGGAGCAGCTGGTGGTTTTGAACTGCCGACTCTGTGGTTCATAGTCCAGTGCTGATCTTACAGGCCACACTGTTGTTGTTGTTAAGTGGAGTCGAGTCAGTTCTGACTCTTAGCAACCCTGTATAGGGTTTCCAAGGAGTGGCTGGTGAGTTTGAACTATCGATCTTGCAACTCAAACCAAGCTTGCAGTCCAGCACATTAACCCATAGTACCACACCCAGTTCCTAATTTATCACTTATGAAAGCAGGGATGCAAAGAAGCAGAATCCCCTCTAAGGATTGCCCTGCGTAGTACAAACAATTAAAGCACCTGACTTCTGACCAAAAGACTGGATGTTTAGTCCACCCAGAGGCACCTCAGAAGAAAGACCTGGCAATCTACTGCCAAAAAAAACAACCCTTGAAAACCCTATGGAGCACTATTCCACTAAGACACACATGGGAACACCCTATGAGTCAGGATCTACTCAATAGCTACTAGTTTGGGGGCTGCCATAGTTTGATAAGCTTTCTTTCATGTATCTAGGGGGACATGAGGAGACAATGCCCTCCATTCCAGTAGACTATGAACACACAGAGCAGCATTTCACAAGAGTAGCCTCAAGAATGTAATCACCAAAATCAAGGTGGCCACACTTGGACTTCGGCAGTCAGACACCAAGAGGCCCCGCCACTTCTCTCCAGTTGTGGCTTCACAGCCCTGCCCCAAAACATCCCTGATGTTGTAAGAAGAGGACAAAGCCCTAGGCTCCCCTTGCAGCAGCTACTGAGCATGCTTCACCAGAAACCAAGGCCGCTAGGGTTGGGAACCAAACAAAGGCATGCGCTATGGGGGAAACAAAGAGGAGAGGTTCCATTCCTAGTCCTGGAAAAGGAAGCAGATTTGTTGCGTTTTGCCAGTCTCAAATTGAAGATCAAATTCACTGAGCTTCAAAATGCCTGCTGAAAACCACGTGCCACAAAACTTGAGATTCCTGCTCCACGTGTTGGCTCTTCCATTGACAATCAGTATAAATAGAGGATTCGTGGAGGGAAAGTCAAATGTGATGATTTTCAATGTGGTTTGATCTTTCCCAATTCTCCATCTTTTCTCCCTAATGCAGCTCTCTCTGACTCAGAGTGACATCAGCCATATTGGCTCCATGAGAGTGGAAGGCATCGTCCACCCAACCACAGCTGAAATTGACCTCAAGGAAGACATAGGTAAGGTGCTGCCATAATTTAGGGGAACTGTATGGCCACCTGATGCACTTCAAAGTTCTTGGGAGGACAGTCCTTGTCCGTGGGTATCACATGGGGTGCTACGTCCAACTCGTTCTCTTTGTATGTAATTCAACAGCCTTACTAGACTGTAACTTTGTTTTGGGGTTTTTTTAAGCTTTTATTGTGTATTGAGTGAGTGAAGGCTTACAGGACAGATCACCATTTTTACATTCAGCAAATCATTATAATGATTACAATCCCTTCCACATGCACCCCCAGCCAACAGCATTTACCTCTAATAACTTATTTTTGGATGTACACATACCACATTATAAATATATATCTACAATGTCCAAAGGGCACATTTTACAAGCCAGTCTCCTGCCTGCAAGCACACTGCTTTTCTCAGTCCATGGGCCTATAGTTCACTGCTGCTCTGTCTCTCTATGCCGTCACCTCTGCCACCATCTCTGTTGTCGCCCCTTTTCTGGTCAGGATCCTTCGCTCCTCTCATGTTCTTCACTCTTGAGGGTCCTGGAGTCCCCTGTTCCTAAAATGATAAATTAACTGCATTTAATCTGATCAGTTGCACCTCTTCTATATTTACAGTTGCGACAAATCACCATTACAGCTGAAAACAATTGCTCGTAATTGAACCATAAATTCCTAGCCCAAACTCATCTGAGCATGAGGAAAATCATTCAGTAGGGTTGACAGTAACTTTATTTTCATTCTGCATATTTGTTACATTTTTTATTGAAGTCTTTACATAGAAACGTGCACAATTAGTGCACAGCATAATGAATTTTTGTCAACATGAACCCACTGGTACAACCAGCACCTAGTTCATGTGGCAGTGCCCCAACAATGCCCCTCACCTGCCTCCTGGTCCCTCTCTCCTTCTCAACCATTATCCTATTCTCTAACAGCATAGAGGGGATCCTCCTGTGTTGAATTTTGTATAAATCAAATCGTGTTGAATCTGTGGTGTCTAACTTCCTTTGTTCAACATTGCCTTTGGGAAATTCATTGTTGAATGTGGTTGTAGTTCATCGGTTTTCTTTGTTGCATCATGTTCCATTGTATTAATATACCAAATTTATTGATCCATTCTACTATTGATGGCACTTGGGTAATTTTCAATTTGGGCTATAATGAATGGTGCTACTATAAATATTCTTGTGTATGTTTTGGGTAAAATCAACCTATGTTTTAAGTTTAAAGATCGAAAATGCCATTGGTAAAATGTAAACAGGCATCTAGAAAAAAATTAGTGTCTCTTCAAGGCTCTGGCATTGAGTCCTTTTACCAGTGGTTTGCCCCTGCTGTGTGAGGGATGGTGGGCACTGGTTTTAGGCTAGATGGAGGTGTTGGGAAGGTAGAAAGACACTGGAAATAACAGCATATAAAATGGTCACCATCTTAACCATCTCTCCTAGACAGAACTGCCTTAAAGTCTCTGTTGAAAAAGTCACGTGAACAAAGGGATTTGTGCCTGAATATAGGGCTGGTCTCAAAATTCAAAGATGTAGGTGGTTTGAGATGGTTGCTAGTAGCTAATCGTTGCTTGTTAGCACCAGGGATCCTGAGGTTCCTGAGTTCATTTATGGTTCCTCTTGGGCATCCAGCTTACTCTGACAAAAAGGAGATAGGCAGGTATGGTCACAACACAGCAGTAAAGAAAAATTGGCTTTTCTTGTTCCCAAACAGACCATGAGCATTCCTTCTTCACTCTTCAAACCCCCATCATTAATGCTCCCTCTCTGTGATGGAAGATGTCGTCTAGTAACTTTTTTTTATTTTTTTTCCTGGAGCATTTTATTGTGACTTGAGTTTATTTATTTACTTATTTAATTTAAGGTTTAATTTTTAACTGAGTGAAAGTTTACAGGGCATATCATCAGTTGTACATTCAACAAATCATACACCTTGTTTCATTACATT